GCAAGTCCTTCTTAAAAACCAGTTACATTTTGCTACACTTTGTACCAAAATAATCCATCCAATTTTTATTCCAATTAAAAAATATGTTTCTAACAATTAGGTCAACTGAGTCCATTTAGAAAATCATTTGTTATTTGAACTCTATGATCCAGGTTTCATTAACCCTCTATTAGAGACATATATTAGAAACAGAAGGGCTACGTCTACACTGGCATGATTTTCCGGAAATGCTTTTAATGGAAAAGTTTTCCGTTAAAAGCATTTTCGGAAAAGCGCGTCTAGATTGGCACGGACGCTTTTCCTCAAAAGCAGTTTTTGCGGAAAAGCGTCCGTGGCCAATCTACATGCGCTTTTCCGCAAAAAAGCCCTGATCGCCATTTTCATGATCGGGGCTTTTTTGCGGAAAACAAATCTCTGCTGTCTACACTGGCCCTTTTGCACAAAAGTTTTTCGGAAAAAGACTTTTGCCCGAACAGGAGCAGCATAGTATTTCTGCAAAAGCACTGACAATCTTACATGAGATCGTCAGTGCTTTTGCAGAAATTCAAGCGGCCAGTGTAGACAGCTGGCAAGTTTTTCCGCAAGAGCAGATGATTTTGCGGAAAAACTGGCCAGTCTAGATACAGCCAAGTTGTACAGTTGGTTGGTTGATATCCCTCACATAAAGTACAATCTGACCCCCCCCGCTCCCTCCCAAAAGGCATGAAAATCAGCCAGCCCATGCACCAAATCTGCGCTCTCTATTGCCCCACCAAAATTAGGAGGCCCATCTTGGCAAAACCATGCACTATATCCTGCACATTTCCAAGAGTCACTACCCTCAATACCCACAATAACAGAAGGGTTTTGATTGCCTTGGCTACCTGGATCACAACAGCCCACACTGTCAATTTACCCATTCACTAATTCCCAACTGAATGGTAGCTATCTAATGTTGCAAGCTTCCACAGGACTATTGCCACTTGCTTCTCAACTGCCAGAGCGGGTCTTATTCTGGTACTGCTGTGCTTCAGGGTGCGGGAAAGCAATTTGCAGAGTTCTATGAAAATGTCCATATGCATGCGAAAGTTTCCCAGCCACTGCTGATCATCCCATAGTTGCTAGTCTCACGCGGCACCAGAACTGACATTCTGCGATTTCAACAGGATTGAATGCCACCAGCATATGCTGATTGCTCCACTCAAGTGTTTCATACATGTCTGTGTCCATTACCCCCTCATATTCTTCTTCACTCTGGTGGCTCCTGGCTAGGCTCTGGACATATCACCGCATAAGGCGCAAGGTGTTTGCAGCTGAATGGGGTCAATGTTTGCCCTGCTATGGTGTCTGCACAGATAACCAGAGGGAAAAGGATGCAAAAAAGACTGTTGGCCACTGCTTTCAAGCAGCATGGGAGGGAGGAGATGAGTACATTATTAGATGATGTCAACATGTACCCAGAACAATCCACTGCAGTTTTTGTCCTTGCAGTCATTGGGAGCCTAACCCAAAATGCAAAGGGGCAGCAGTAACTGTAGGATGGCTACCCACATTGTATTGCTGTAAAAATCAACAGTAGCCACCCTGAGGATGCACTACGTAAGAACGGCCATACTGGGTCAGACCAATGGTCCATCTAGCCCAGTATACTGTCTGCCGACAGTGACCAATACCAGGAGGGAACGCATCAGGTAATCCTCACGTGATCCCTCCCCTGTCACCCATTTTCAGACATACAGAGGCGAGGGACACCATTCCTACCCATCCTGGCTAACAGCCATTAATGGACCTAACCTCCATGAATCTATCTAGCTCTTTTTTGAATCCTGTTAAAGTCCTAGCCTTCACCACATCCTTTGGCAAGGAGTTCCACAGGTTGACTGTGCACTGAGTGAAGAAAAACTTCCTTTTGTTTCTTTTAAACCTGCTGCCTATTAATTTCATTTGGTGACCCCGAGGGTATGTCTACACTACCCCCCTAGTTCGAACTAGCCGGCTTTTAAAAATGGCGGAGCCGGCTTTCATATGGGACCTGTTCCCAACCCCTGATCATTTTAGTTGCCCTCCCCTCTCCCAGCCTCTCTGGGTATGTCTACACTACCCCCCTAGTTCGAACTAGGGGGGTAGTGTAGACATACCCCTACTTCTTATATTGTGGGAATAAGCAAATAACTTTTCCTTATTCACTTTTTTCACACCAGTCAAGATTTTATAGATCTCTAACATATCCCCCTTTAGTCTCCTCTCTTCTAAGGTGAAAAGTACAAGTCTTTTTCATCTCTCTTCATATGGGACCCGTTCAAAACCCCTAATAATTTCTGTTGCCCTTCTCTGAACCTTCAACTATGTTGAACTATTGTGCATAGTGGGGATATGTACCTTTGACTTTACAGGCAGTCCCCGACTTACGCGGATCCGACCTATGTCGGATCCGCAGATACGAACGGGGCTGGCCCAGAGGACACGCGCGCGGGCGGCGGGACCGCCCAGAGCGCAGCGGTCCCGCCACCGCGTCCTCCGGGGCGAGAAAAGCTGCTCCGGGTCTCCCTGGTGTGCTGGGGGGGGG